AGAAGTTGCTCTTGATAAGCTTGGAAGAAGTCCGGTGGCGCCTCTAGAATGTTAGTTCTGATGAGTTTCAGACGCCCATGGAATTCATCTTCAGGGTTTGATTATCTGACCTTTGTCTCCTCCACAATGTAGTCTTTTTGACTATTTGGAATGGATGCATTTGAGGAGAACTTGTCGGTGGCACAGCGGAAAATGATGGTTGACTTGTGAGCGTAGCTGACCATTTGAGTTGCGGAGATAGTAGAGAGAGTGATGGAAGAGAGAAGTGTCCGAGAATGTTTTTTTGACAGTTAACAGCATGTGGAACACTCTCCCCCTCATGACGGTCCGATGAATCGGGGCGTCATGCCTTTATTCTTTTATTCTGCAGAAATAAAAACAGGAAAAACAAGCAGAATGTAAAGACGATAACGTAGCCCCCCGGGGTCGTGAAGACGCCCGTTATCATCACTATAGAGATAAACTCTAAAGCAATGGCCTGAAAATGTTGGTGATTCTTATGTTGCAACAGCAGGACTTCCTTCCAATTATTGGTCTACATCTGTAATAGATGAGCCCTATGGAAGTTCTCGCAAGTCTTGAAGACTAACAACTGACTCTAAAATGTGTCTGTGTCAAAGAAAATTTCAAAACATTTGGGAGTAAGTAACTAGACACGACGTGATCAATGAAAGCTCAGTGGCATGGGGCTGAGGCCACTGTAGTCAGTATCACTTGCCTCAAAAGGAGACAGTAATGAGAGATGAGGTTCCCCGTGAAATGTGATTAAACATCTGTCTGTTGGGAGACAAGTGAGTGGTCTTGGGTAGGGTTAACCATGCACTGTTGGACAAGATGCAGTGACTTCTACTCGGGATCTGATTAAATCAGTCCTGAGCCTATGGGGATTGTCCAGAGTATTTGAGTGGCTAGGAGTAAATGTTCAATTCATAGTAGGCAGTTGAGGTAGCAGACTCATCATTGATTATTGTATTCTTGCTCACTTGAGCCTTCTGCTTCCTAACGCTCATAATGTCCACTCACTCACTCGCTCACTCACTCACTTACGCTCACCTTTGTCCCTTGGGTAGGCTTAGTTGGGTTTACTAAGCCATAGGGACATGTTCTCTCATTACATTCTTCATTTTCTCTCTGTACTCCCCCTCAACTGGAGCACTCGGTATGCTTTGTCATTGTTAGGCATCGGGGAGGATAACATTGAACACTCCCCTAGAACGTTGCATCCGTTGAGAGATTCCTTGCTTTGTCAGTGTGAGGCGGCAGGAGGAGAAAACTGAAACTCCCCCTCAGAATGTGCAAGGATTGATTGCTCACAGCTCGTCATACCCGCCATGTGTGTGGGGAAATCTGAACAAGTACCACACATGATGGTTTCCCTGAGCTCATCATGTAGAATTTCAGCATATTGATGATCACATAACGTTGATGAGTCAGAGGAGGCTTCAGTGGTTGATTGTTGATTGTTGTAAGATGACCGCTGACGCGAGGTTGATTGAATTATCTACGATTTTCGGACCTTTACAGTGAAGCTTAGACCCTATTTGACCTTTTGTTTGACTTTGAAAGAATTTGATCAGATGTGCCCAAATAGGCCTTTTGACATCGGTGATTTACAAAGTTTTTCGGAAAACCAACGTTTTGACCCTCAAAGACTGCGAGTGAGGGCGCGTGAAAGTGGGTTCTGGGGTTTCTCGCAGAATAAATGTAGATCTTTTCGTTAGCTTTCCAACAAAAAAAAGTTTGCAAAAATCGGATCACCGAGTCAAAGGTTATGGCCAAAACAGTGCGGTGTCGCAGAAAATCTCTAATTTTGAGTTTTTGAGGAAAAACTTCGAGGTTGAGGTTCTCGATGTTGAATTTCGAGAGCAGGTGAATTTAAACAAAATTCTAAGGCAAAAACTCGAAATCCTAATCTCGAGATTTTAATTTCAAGTTTGCCTTGAAGAGTATTGGCGAAATCCACCTGCAAAACAGACCTCAGAATAACGAAATCTTCAGAATTTCAAAATGTTTGGAACATCGAAAACTTTGGAGTTTCGAAAAACCTCATAATATCGAAAACTTGTTGTTTGAAAAACATCAGAACATCGAAAACTTCTAAAACTTTGATAAACAGGGAATCATTGAGAAATCCTATAATGTGAAGCTTCGATGAACTGCGAAGGATGTCAAGATTTGAATTTTGAGTTCCAAGAAACTGCAAACTTTGAAAGATTCACGACATCGAGAAATTCCGAAAATTCTGAATTTTTCAGAATGTCGAAATCAAAAACATCGAGTTCCTAAAACTCGAAATAAATTCCAAAATTCGAAATTCCAAAACTCTCAAATTTTTAAAAACTCGAGGTTTAAAACTCGAGGTCAGAACTCGAGGTTTAAAACTCGAGGTCAGAACTCGAGGTTTAAACTCGAGGTCAGAACTCGAGGTTTAAACTCGAGGTCAGAACTCGAGGTTTAAACTCGAGGTCAGAACTCGAGGTTTAAAACTCGAGGTCAGAACTCGAGGTTTAAACTCGAGGTCAGAACTCGAGGTTTAAAACTCGAGGTCAGAACTCGAGGTTTAAACTCGAGGTCAGAACTCGAGGTTTAAAACTCGAGGTCAGAACTCGAGGTTTAAAACTCGAGGTCAGAACTCCAGGTTTAAAACTCGAGGTCAGAACTCAAGGTTTAAAACTCTCGATTTTGAAAACTCTCGAGAATCTGAAAACTTCGAATTTTGAGAAACTGAAAACTGTTCTGAATAGCCCTGAGAGTCGTGATTCTCCTGTATCTGTTTCAAGTCAAAAATCGATTTTGCAGGCATGTAAAAGCATAAACTCGCAATTCATGTAGAGTTCTACGAAAAATGAAAATTTGCAGAAATCGAAAAAGAGGATATGCTGCTGGATCGTTTTTTAAAGGCGATTCCAACAGTATAATTTTTACAGATTTTCGTTCACAAACAAGATTACAGGAGCAAAAATCTATATTGAAGAAAGTATGAAGAAAAGCAGAGCAGTTCTTCGTAAGATCAGAAAAATAGCAGATATATTCAACCTGTTTCACGCCTCGGCTCGGATACCAATTGATAGTCCCAAAATACTAAACGATCAAACAACCATAGCAGTTATGAAGAAGCAGATAGAAAGATATGGAGATGAAAAACCGAATCTGGTATACCGTGTAAACTGGCCACTGCTCTCCCTCGGGAAGGAGAGCAGCGGAAAACTCTAATCTCTCTATCTCTGCGCCTCTATTCTCTAAAGCCTCTATCGATAGTTAGGGTTCCCGTAAGTTAGCCTCCTTTTATAGGAGAAGTTGGCTAACTTACGGGTTACAAGGAAGCTAACGGGCTGATACACATTTGTGGTCCGTATTACACTTTTAATTAATAACTACACAAATACAAAGATAACTAACTAGATTGAACATCATAAAATATTCCCAACAGGCTTGTACTAAAAGTATCCACAGTAATGTAAGGAAGACCGCATAGTTTTCTATTATTATCGGAGTGCAACAAGGATCTTCTCTAATTTCTTTCTTATTTGCTATACTCATGGATGAACTTACGAAGTCAATTCAAGAAGATATACCATATCCCATGATGTTTGCCAGTGATATTGTATTGATTGATGATATGCAATCCGATGTTAAAGCAAAGTTGGAAGTATGTCGACAACTATTGGAGATCAAGGGTTTCAAACTGAGCCGGAGCAAGACTGGGTATAAGAAGTGCAAATTTGGTGGGGGTAGAAGTAGTAGCAACAATGGGATTACTCTTGATGGTAAGGAGATACTGGTGCGTGATATGTTCTGTTACTTGGACTCCATAATTCAGAAGGATGTTGAGTTACATGGAGATGTATCTCATAGAATCGGAGCTGAATAGATGAAATGGAAGAGTGCATTAGGATTTCTATGCAATCGAGGTATGCAGACTAGCTAGACAGAGAGGTAAATTTTATCGAACGTCAATTAGGCTTGCATTAATGTACGACGTTGAGTGTTGGACGGTGAACAATACCACATTCAAAAGATGAATGTGGCAGAGATGCGTATGTTGCATTGGATGTGTGGACATACCAGAAAAGACCGCTTGAGGTATGAGATAATCGGACAAAAGGTGGGAGTAGCACCTATAGAAGATATGATGTAGGAGTCTCGTTTGCGATGGTTTGGACATGTGCGGTGAAGACCAAGTGATGAATCTGTTAGATGACTTGAGGGGAGGGGAGAATATGCAGAAAGGAGAGGGAGGGAAAGACCCGAACAGACATGGATTAGAGAAATCCGATCTGATATGCGTTTTCTTGGGTTGGATGAGAATATGGATTTGGAGTGAGCAAAGTGGAGGTGCATATGATTATTGTATGCAAAAGATATGATTATTTTGAGATGATGAATGATGTAATTTAAAAAGTGCAAGATTACTTTGAAAAAATCTACGTGTCAATTTATGTGTCATTAAAAAACCGTTTATTTAAGTAGCATGAAGGTGCATGTTCTAACACAATCTTATCAATTAAAGTTGGAATTTTATCAATTCAGGACCTGAAAGATAGATTAATTATCAATTCAGAACCCGAAAGATGAAACGTATCGGTATAGGACCCGAATGATGGAAAACTATCAATTTAGGACCTAACGTTTCATAGGTTTTGATTTATTTAATTTTTTATTAATTCCATAACTATTTTTTGATAAACTTTTCTTCACAAAAGTTTATTAGTTTAATAAAACGAAATCATATTTAAAAATTTTTAATAAAAAAATTATGACAACTTAGGTTCTAGACTAATAGTTTTCAATCATTCAGGTCCTAAATTGATAGTTTTTCATCATTCGGATCCTATATCGATGCATTTTATCTTTCAGATCCCGGATTGATAATTAATCTATCTTTCGGGTCCTGAATTGATATAATCCATTAAAGTTTTACGAGATGCATTTTTACTTTTTTTTAAAATTAAAGTTTTGGATGCATATTAATTAATGTTTATGATGGAATAATAATATGGCAGAAGAGTAAATGAATCGACAATGAAAAGCAGGGGGCTTTTGTCTTCTTCACCGTTGTGCCAGACCGGAAACCCAGTCGACGACTGCTGGGGGGCTTGCGACATGAGCTGGGAGAACAACCGGCAGAAGCTGGCTGAGTGCGGCATTGGGTTCGGGAAAAATGCGGCGGGCGGGCAAGGCGGACAGATCTATGTGGTCGAAGACTCGTCAGACGACTCCGACCCCGGCAATCCAAAACCGGGCACTCTCCGGTACGGGGTGACTCGACAGGAAAAACTCTGGATCACATTCACGACCGACATGAAAATCGAGCTCCGGCACGAGCTCTTCGTCAACAGCTTCAAGACCATCGACGGCCGCGGCGCGAACGTGCACATTACCGGCGTGGGCTGCATCACACTCCTCTCCGTCACCAACGTCATCATCCACAACCTCCTCATCTACTACTGCAAGCCCTCGCCGGAAAACGACAGAGTACAGGTGAGCCAGCAGTTGACGGAGAAGGTGTCCTCGTCGGACGGCGACGGAATATCCGTACATATGTCGAGCATGGTGTGGGTGGACCATTGCACCCTGATTCATTGCGAGGACGGCCTGATCGACGTCACTCAGGGCTCCACCGCCGTCACCATCTCCAACAACCTTTTCCTCCGCCACGACAAGGTCATGCTGCTCGGCCACAGTGACAACGACAATGATGACGCCAATATGCAGGTACCGTAGCTTTTAAGTTCTGAAAAAGTGTGAATGATTGAGAAATATCTATTGATAAGGGGAAAACGCAATTTGGACCCGGCATTATTTAAAAATCTGAGATTCCTGTTTCTCAGCTTTTAAATGTCACTCATTATTTGACAAAATTGTGTTAAAAATCTTACAAATTCCATTTGTCTTTCTATTTTTGCATGGGTAAACATGTAACTTCGCATGCTTATACGTTTCAATCCTTAAATCGAGTATAAATTAGACTTTCTTTGTATTGTTCCAAAAAAAGGTGGAATCTCCCACCCTAGGAGCCTCCCACCCCGACCTGACAAGATGGTAGGGAGATTAGTCACAGTGACTCAGTCAGCATAATGGCAGTAGATTTTCTTTGTATAATTCAAGTAAGGTACACGCCATTTGCTTGGGAAACTCTCTTCCCTTCATCCGTTTGGATTTTTCAAGAGGTGACACCATTATCATCATTCTAAGCCATAACACCAACACTCAATGCCATTATCTTTCTCATTAACAAACCTATATAACAATGCATGAGTTTGGTTTGCGTACTTACACTTTGGAGTTGCATTTTACCCATTTACTCTTCGAACGGTCATCTTTCCTCCGTCACAGCTTCGACCTTCAAACAGAAATCTTCGCTTCAATATATAGTTTCAATATTCGAACGCTATGTCCAACGGAAAGTTGGCGGAAAAGAGGTCAGAGCAAAGGATTAAGTAAAGCATTTGAATTTGGATTGATATGCGTGATAAAGGGTTGACGATATATCGACTTAGGGATTTAAACGTATATGGATGCGAATTTACATGTTACCCCTGAAAAATAGAAACTCTCACGAAGTTTATAAGATTTTTAACGACAGGGGTAACATTTAAAACAATTTTGTCAACTGGGGTGTGACATTTAGAAACGCAAAAACATGGGTCTGAGATTTCAATATGGTACCTAATTGGCGAATCAAAACTGCGATTTTCCTTATTTATAATTAGTAAAAAGTACTACGTATATTATCATTTAAACTCTAGTCTGGAATCATACTTCATTCGTCCCTTATAACTTTGGCAAGTTTGAGCGGCACAGTGATGGTACGGGGATTAATAAAATAAAAACTGTGTGTTTGAGATTTGTGCAGAAGAGATGAAATTAACTGAAACCACAAATTCTTTACTTAAAAAGGAAAGTGTTAAAGTTAGTGAGAAAACCAAAAAATAAAAGTTGACAAAGTTTTAAAGGATGGAGAGAGTATATATAATAATCCCTCCATACCAAAATGATTTGAAATTGTCTTTCTTGTGGGAAATAATGACAGATATACTTCTGGGTTTTCAAAAAACAAAAATGAGAGTACTTTATAATCTAGATAAAAAAAGAAAAAATTGCCCAAGATGAGACTAAAACATGGATTAAACTCTAAAATAGGACTTTAAGTTTCTAATTCCCTAAATAGGACTCCAGATTACAATTTTACCTTTCTTTAATTGAATCTCAATTCCTCACATCCCTTCCCTCCCAGGGAGTGCAGGTGCGCCATCGGTTATGGCCTCGTATCGCAATTCTGCCGCCGACCATAGGTAATCTCTTCCTCTTCCTCCTCCTCCTCTTCTTCTTCTTCTTCTTCTTCTTCTAATCTTTCTTCTTCTACTTCTTCTAATCCTCTTCAAATTTCTGGTCCTATGTTCTCTTCTTCTTTGGAATTTTTCGATTTGAATTTTATTTATTAATTTGGAATTTTCGAATTTGAATTTTATTTATTCAGGAAAACACTTTTATAAGTTGAAACAATGTCATGTTTGTGGCAGTACATTTACCAGGATGGCAATCTGAGATGTCATTTTTGTTTCAAAAATGTCATGAAAATGACATTTTTCCTTTTTGGAAATGTCATTTTCTTCTTTGAAACTGTCATCTTAGCAAAAGTGACAGATTAGAAATCATTTTCTTCTTTTGTAATGTCATAAAAGAAAATGACACAATAATGACAATTTCGTACAGAAACATGTCATTCTCAATATGTCATTTTCAAATATTGTAATGACATAAAAGTGACATTTTTTAAAAGTACCCAATAATTATGACATTCTCTTATTCAAAAAGTGTGATTTTCTGGAAATCTAAAGAAGAAGAAAACAGAGGACCCAGATTTGAAGAGGATGGGAAGGAGAAGACAAAAAAAGAAAAGAAGAAGAAGAAGAACAAGAAGGAGAAGAGTAAAGGAGGTGAGCTCTCATGGTGGAGCAACGGCAGCGGCAAAGGGAGGAGCAAAAGAAAAAGATGAAGAAACTTACCTGGGTAGACATCCATCGATCGCACCCAGCGAATCGATGCAGCAGCAATTAAGAAGGGTCTTTTTGTCCAAATACAAATAATTAGTCCGATTAAGGGAATTTAAAACATTACGTCCCATTTTTGCAATTCTATCTTCTTTTAATCCTATTTAGGGAATTCATGAATGAACCGTAATAAGAAGTATAAATAAATCATCTAACAAAACACTAATTTCAAATCCAGCTCTCCTTAACTTCAGCTCTCATAAGGAGGTCGCCGCTTCAGCTCTCACCCGTCTCTGTTGGTCTTCACCCCGCACGCCACGGTCATCGGTCCTCCTCCTCGTCCTCGTCCAATTGTGAATTATTGGGGTGGGAATGAGTGATAAAACAATATCGGACTTGGGTCTAGGTGGGCAATAGCGATAAGTACGTGAATGATGGTCCAAATCGACGGCGCACGACTAGGGTTTCCGATGAGGCTAGTGCATACCAGTATAGGGTCACATATCGGAGTAAGGTGAGGCAAGAAAAGGGGATGGGGTGAGGTAATGGAGGAGTCAGGCGTGTGGGGTAGGGGACGATAATGGTGGGGTTAGAGTTTTATCCGCCTAGGGCGACGACAGCAGTGTCAGGGAAGGTGGGTCATGGTGGTGGTGGCGCGGGAGACCGCGTGTCATGATTTTGTGGTTGCAATAGAATACCAAGTCACTTGATATAATTGCAACTTGTTGGATGTAACTCTGATTGGCATAGGGGCCGGGTGGTCATTGCGATCGGTGGTCGGTAACGGTCACTGTGACATTGGTCTCTTTACTGCTGACCACCGTAGTGCGTCTCATGGGTTTAGTAAGGGTGTAATGGTTTGCCATCTTAGTTTTTTTAGTTTCACTTTTGGAAATTACAAAAACACCTCTTTTATCCATTAATTAATTTATAGTAATACCTTTGCCCTAATCCTTTTTTCTTGGTCAACATGGTTTCATTTTATTTAATTATTTAATACTTTGTATATCAATTTTGCATTAGTCCCTCCATTACTTAAATTTTTGTCATCTTTAAATTTTGATCAATCAAATTAAAATTTGATAAATATTACTATGTCTATCATTGTAATAAAAAAGGGAAATTAAAATAATCGATCTTAAAAATACTTTCATAAAATATAAAATTTATAACTTTCATGAAATTATACAAACAAAGTCATTATTCAAAGTGCATCCTCGTCAATATATAAAGTTAAAGATGACAAAATTTTAAGCGACATAAATAATATATCACCTTAGCATTTGCAAATTATGTACAACTTTCAATTCAATATTAAAAATATCGCAACTTTATACAATTTTAAATTCAATATAAAAAAATACAAATTAGAAGTCGACATGTCCCACTAACATTAAGATATGTGTCTCTCACCGTAGGTGACCGTAGCATTTAATAGGTTCGGGGAAGGGCTTACGCAGAGGATGCCGAGGTGCAGGAAAGGGTATTTCCACGTGTTCAACAACCACTACACCTGTTGGGGAATTTACGCCATCGGCGGCAGCGCCAACCCGACCATCAACTCCCAGGGTAACCATTTCACTCCGCCGGCGAACCCTCATGCTCTGGAGGTGACGAAACGAACAGAAACATCAGACGAGGGCGAATGGTCAAGCTGGAATTGGAGGTCAACGGATGATGTGTTCGACAATGGGGCATTCTTTGTACCTTCCGGTGACCAATCCGACAACGCATACCAAAAGGCGACCAGCTCGGCCGATGTCAAGTCCGGCGGCATGACGAAACAGTTGACAAGCAACGTCGGCCTCCTCATTCTCATGCCAAATGGGTGAGCACTCCTCTATTTCTCTATCTATTATTTGCCTTTACGGGACATAAGAAAATTCATTAAATAGGATTAACATAAGAAATAATTACATATTTATTACTAAAATAAAAATTGTTCGCAAAAATGTGCCTAGTGACTAGAGTATTAATGAAATCATAGTAACTTATGTCCGATTTTTCAAATTAATATACCATGACTAGCTAGAGATCACCATTATTTATTTGTAAAGTAGGATTTATTCAATCTAAACTGAGAAAATCTTATTCTCTTAATAAAGCCAAATCATTCATATTTTAAAACTAGACATAATATTATACCTATTAATTTGTAGATTTTGTTTATGTTTTACACTTATTTGAAATTAACCATTTCCTTTATTATACATGCAATATATATATATATATATATATATATATATATATATATATATGAATCTTCATGTCAGGTTGGTCTGACTGGGACAGCCGTCCGGCCGAACCCGTTTGAGAGTCTTCTTGGTGGAATTTTTTGATGAAATGTTTTGAACATATTCTACACCAAATCTAGTTTACTCATACCAAGTTTCAGATAACAATTCAATCGTGAAGGTAGTCAAATAAATTATTTAAGAACACTACATAGTTAATATATACTTCAGAAAATCATTTGGCTGTCTTCCCGATTGAATTTTTAGTTGAAATTTGGGATATGGATGAACTAGATTTGATGAATAACATGCTCAAAAATTTACGTCGAAAAATGTCATCGGGAAGGGCCTCATACGGGCTTAGCCGGACGACTGTCCCGGTCAGGCCGACTTGACATGAAGACTACTCTCTCTCTCTCTCTCTCTCTCTCTCTCTCTCTCTCTCTCTCTCTCTCTCTCTCTCTCTCTCTCTCTCTCTCTCTCCTGAAGGCCAGGCCGGATAGGAGGGTGGTTCGGCCACCTCAATTTGAGGCGGTTTCCGGTGATATTTTTTGTTGAAATTTTGTGTGTATGTTCTTCATCAAGTCTAGTTCATCCATACCAAATTTGAGTAAAAAATGCAACCGGGAAGACCGTCAAATAATTTTTGAAAGATAAATGCGCCCGAATTTTTTTGTTTATTAATTACATATGGATAATATTTATGAAAAAACCTCGATTAACCACGGTCGAAGTAGTGTAATTTTGACTAATCAACCATTGAACCATGTATGTGTAGGTAGAATAATTTTTCGAAGACTGTACTTAACTTCAGGCCCTCAAGTTGTATAACTTTATTCTGATTTTCAAATAATACTATCTACTAAGACTTCTAATTTTACATGGGGTACTAATTTGATTCTTTCAATAATTGTTGTACCAAAATAAAAACAATATTAACATTGGCTATAGTAATAGTTATGACATCATTAATGGTATTTACGTAATTAATCCTTAGCTTTCATAATGGTATTTCACTAATTAATCCTTTAATTTCACTAATCATATCTTATGTTTGAATGCCATGCATGGTATTGATAGGCTCACCGCCGCCGGAAATGGAGTGTTGAACACCGTCCCTGGTGTTAAGGAATGGAACTTTGGCAACATTTTTGACCAAGGCGGCGGGGCTCCACTACAATCAACCATCTCCCCTCTAACTGCTGTTAAAATAGTGGTTGCTGTTATTATTGTTGTTATTATTGTCTCTATTATCAAACGTTTTAGTAAAAAAACTAACGGAAAATAATACATAGTAATATTTTCAAAAGTAATATGTGAATTGTATTCGTTCTTAGCAATATTGCTATCCACAAATGGTGCCAAAACCAGAAATTCAATTTTGTACTTAAACAATTGCATCAGCAACAATAAATGACAAATCATTGTCTTTTTTTTTCTCTCCGGAGTGTCTGGGGAGGAGGGGTGAGGAGGGGTTTGGAATAATCAGGACTGAAACTCATTCTATTGAGTTTCAAACCCTTGTATGCCTGCCGGGTTTCAAATTCGAGACCTCCCACTAAGCACGGTAACCTCAAAACCAGCAGGGTTGAAATGCTTGGTTTGTCTATTTGTCTACAACTTCATAATTTTCTCTAGGTTTCTCATGGTTATTAGACCGTTTTATTAATTAGATATCATTTAATTCAATATGTATTAACCCTGTACAGTGTTGTATAGTCTAATCTAGTGTGTTCAAATGTATTGTACTATGACCTTGTGTGCATATGGTTTAGTATCTATGGTCCATTTATAATATATTGTCCTTTGCGGCGTATGTTCTTTTATGATATATTGTCCGCATGTATGTTATTATTATGTGAGTTTTATAATTATGAATATATTTTCATGAAAAATTTATGTTTTATAATAGAGAAAATTGTCAAATAAATCCTCGTATTATATTAAAAAGGTCAATTAGGTCCTTGTATTTTGAAAACACTCAATTAAATCTCTAAACTTTTACAAAACGTTCCATGGATCGTTTTTAGCAGGTCAAGACTCAGTTTCCAATGAGGAAAATGTCAGTTTGGAACATCAGTTGTAAGCCAGAAGTAAAGAGTACATCATTGTGCAATTGGGACCCGGCTAGAGCAATCATGTTTGCTCTGTACCTTCGATTCGGCGGAAGAGGCCATCTGGCTTTCTACAAAAGCGCCAAGTAGATCTGAATGCTAAGCAACCAAAACCAAGACAAATTTTTTTGGTGCCGGAGGATCTCAATTAGCTTCTCGATTTGAGCCTAAAACAACAAGCTAAGGATGGATCGCTGCGATTCAAACCAGCATCGTTGAGTCTCTTCCTATTCCCATAAAGGAGAGCAGTCGCTCTCACCGGAGTTGCCACCCTGTCCCAGAGTTCGCCGGAGGTCCTAACAAGAAAAGCCATGTTTTCCTACCAAGAAGAGCCATGTTTGAGGAATTCCGGGTAGAGGATTGGGGACGATGGTTAAATCTGGGAAGAGGGGAACCAGGAAAAAGAATAGGAAATAGAAATAAAAAAGGAGAATAAAACAAAGAAAAATAAAGAAGAAAAAAAATAATTTCCATGTGGCCTGCCACGTGGCAGCTAACTGAAAAATCGGTTCTTGACCTGCTAAAACCCCTCAATTGAACGTTTTGTAAAAGTTCAGGGATTTAATTGGGTGTTTTCAAAATACAAGAATCTAATTGAATTTTCTGATATAAAGTACGAGAATTTATTTGACAGTTTCTCTTTATGATATAATTTTATTTTAACTTTTAAACGGCTATCAATATTTTTTAAATATTTTTTGTTGAAGTATATCTAACGACTATATTCCACCCTGACAAAGAAGTGAAACAACTCAATACTAAACTCATGAGTATCTACGGAGGTGTGAAGATTTGGAAAGAGAAAGGAGCAGCATGAGATCATTGTCTTTTAGCCAATCCCTTCTTGTACTAACATTGCTCTAAGTCTCAACAAATTAAACAATGTACTATTGGCACAATTTTCTTTTATTGTCTAAAGGGACAATTGTCTAACATTGTCTAAAGGGGCAAACTAGTTTTTCTTGTGTTAATATTAGAGAATATTGTTGTAGCAAATATTTGAGTTATTATTTTTACATTATGTGAATTATTTATGTGAGGTAATTTTATTATGGTGAGATTTAGTAATTATGTATTAATTACTTCATGTTTACATTTATAACTTTATGACTGAGTCTATGTAAGGGGAGGGTGATAAGGTTAGTTAGTTGAGTTATCTCTAATTTTTATAGGACAAGTTCTGAAACTGCCGGACAACAAATGACACATCCAGAGAGAAAGAAGATGTTAATGCCCGATGACTCAGCAAATGCTTGAAGGGTGAATTATATTTGAGTGCCCAATCGTCAGCAGAAGTGGGTGAATGACACAAGAAGGGATAACTCACCAAAGTGCCCAATCGTCGCCTGATTTCACGGAGGAGTTTCCGGAACCGTCGTAACTTTGATGGAATGATCGAGATAACTTGAGTCATGCCATACAAACAAGTCTCATTCAAGATATGAACGGAAATAGAAAACCTAGGCTTTGTTTATGAAGATTGAGGCTAGAAGCTCAACTGAATCCTATTTTTGTGCAGCGGTTTCGAATCCGTTGGAAAAGCAACGAGCTGGACGAAAGAAACACTATTTTTGTACTTCAAATAACATAAGCTCTTGATGTAAAAAGGACAAAATCATCCTAAAATACATATAGATACATACACAATTATCATCAATATATTCTTACTTTTTAATAATAATGTATGTAACCATAGTTTATTCTTTGAATTCGTTTAGCAAATTCATACTTAACATAAAATTGCTTAAACAATTTAGCGTCGTCGGTGGGAAACGTGCAAGGAAAATCATCCATGGAAGATCATTCATCTATAATGGCGGAGGTCCAAAAATAAATAGAAGCGGTGAAAGAGGAAATGAAGTGGGAAATGACGTTGAAAAAAGATTGCATTCAAGGAGAAAACAAAAACAATCTCCTAAAATTGCAAGTCCAATCCATTGTCTCCATAGCTGCTCTAGGGATTCCAAGAGATGCGATGCAATAGTTGTTCTAACAAGGCTGGACCTGAATTCCATCACTGTCACGACAGATCCAATTCCGACCACCACCGACGCCATCTCATTAAGCCCAAGGCTATAATCATTCAACCAACTCGAGTCTCCGGTGATATTCCAGGTTATACTTTATACCCCTTTGCATCCAATATCTACACTTGCTTACACTAATTCAAGGTGTTACAGATTATTTAACTACCTTAAGGGATGGTAGTCATATGGGAAAAGATAACGATGACTGTTTTACATCAACTTCAATTAAAACTCTAGCAAATTTGTGATTAGTCATATTGTATGTGACTTTGTCCGTATTTTACGAGACACCAACCATAGAGGCAACTTCACTCATAGCAGCCTCATTCCAAAGTTTCATAGGTAAATTACGGAATTTACCCAAATAGATACCTTAAGAAACTCTTCATCATCAAATGAAAAATCTTCTCAAAGTGCTTTTAGCAAAAGAAGTTTCCCAAAGATGGTGTAAGGAATCCCTTTTAGCATTTTTGTTGTATCCTCTTCAATTTGAAATTTGAAAATTATCCAACTCTTTTTCCTGGATTTCACAAGGCATTTCACATCCCATTTAAATTTCAAATCATAGATAGTCTTAAGTCCAAGAAATTTTCGGTGAAGCACCCAACCAAACAATATTCCCACATATCAATCATAGAGGGCGTAATCCTACCCGCAAAGTCTAAGGAATTGCCTTTCAGCAGGGCATACCTCAACTTGAGACAATTTGATGGATCTCGGTTATCCTTGAATAGAGAAGTCCAGGATTTTTGAACTATCTCTTCTTCTTTAGCATTTTCTATAGCAACTAGAACTTTCTTCATGGTTTCTGCCTCATTTGTTGTGTGGCCCCTCTGGTTGCATGGAGATTTGACCGAGGGCAAAATATTTAGGACTTAGAAAATTTTTCTAAGTGTAGTTCTTCCACCAAGCCTTCGGTTGTGTGGCCCCTCTGGTTGCATGGAGTTTTGACCGAGGGTAAAATATTTAGGGCTTAGAAAATTTTTCTAAGTGTAGTTCTTCCACCAAGCCTTCGGTTTATGTGACCCTCTGGCTGCATGGAGATGTGACCGAGGGTCAAATATTTAGGACTTAGAAAAATTTTCTAAGAGTTGTTTCACCACTGAGCCCTCGGTTTATGTGACCCTATGGCTGTATGATGATTTGACCGAGGGCCTAATATTTGGGGCCTAGAAAAAATATCCCCAGTGTAGTCCATGAATGGACCCTTCAGGCTGTTGCACTGAGCCTTTGTTGTACTGATAGTTGACCGAGGGCTAATCGGTTTGGACTTAGCAAATTTTCACCTATCCATAGGAGGAGCCTTCGTTATTGGATGATGCCGGAGGCAGCCGGCTGTGGACTTGGCCTGATTTTGATAACTTTAGCCTTCTGGAATTAGTAACTCCCTGGTACCGGGGGTGTTCCCGTGGGGAGCCCTCGGTATGATCTGTATTGTCTTGTGATGCCGAAGGGCTTCCTGTTGTGATTTGTTGAAGTTGTGTACTCATTGGTTTCTCGCTGAGTCTACTCCCCTTCACCCCATTCTTTTTTTGGTAACGAAGGGAAGGTTTCAAGAAACTTGGTTTCTTGGTAAGGCTTGGCCTATCGGGAGGCAACAACATACACCATTAGCTCCCCCCTCGGGTTAACCTTCCGAGTTCCGAGGGGATCGAGGGTCGTTTCCTGGGCATGAGACATAGTCTGTAGCCTGCCTCCCCTTGGGGATGGCACGGAAAGCGCCTCAGTTTTGAAAGTCGTTCGCTGGGCACGAGACATAGTTCGTGGCCTGCCATACCCCTGGGGTAATGGCGCGGGAAGCGTTTCGTTTTTGAAAGTCGAATCGTGGGCATATTAGTTGCCTGCCATACCCTTGGGGTAGTGGCGCGGAAAGCGTTTCGTTTTTGAAAGTCAAATCCTGGACATATTAGTTGCCTGTCATACGCTTGGGGTAATGGCACGGAAAGCGTTCCAAGGAAGAGTTTTCATTTGCACACTGGTTGCAAATGGTTGGGGGCACTACGTGCTGCCGGCACCGATAGGTGGCGCCTTCGGTATGAATGCGTCCTCGAGGGGTACGGCTTCAGAAACAACACTTGGTGTTTGTTTCAGCCCCCGATACTTGGTACCGAGGGGTCTTCAAAAGGAAACACTTGGTGTTTTCCGCTGTGTGGAATTGATAGGAGTACGTATCACTTGGTGTTTCCCTTATTTGTCGTAGTTGATTGGAGTGTCAACACTCGGAACTTGAGGCACAGATGCCTCGTGGAGATGATGGCTTCAAGGTCCTCGAGGGCTGGTCTGCCGAGGATGATGTTGTGGGCGCATTCGATGTTGACGACGACGAACTCCACTTCGATCTTGGCTCTATCGAGCCCGTCACCGAATAGTACCGGGAGGGTAATGACCCCCTCGGAATCAATGGTGTCTCCGGTGAAGTCGGCGAGAGGGGTCTTGATGGGCCGAAGGGACCCCCTCTCCAGATGCAGCTCTTTGAATGTGCTGAGATACATTACATTGACGGAGCTGCCCGTGTCAATGTAAGTTCGGTGGATGATGGTGTCATTGATCTCAGTACGGATGACGAGGGCATCCCTGTGCGGAGAGGAAGCCGGGGGGAGATCGGTGAAGGTGAAGGTGATGGGTTCCTCCCTCAGCCGCTTTACCGGGGGCATATGAGTGACTTCCCCCACATATAGCGATTGAGCCCACTTCTTCCGCTAGCTGGTGGAGTCCCCTCCAGTGTTGCCTCCAGTGATCATATGGATGTGGCGCCTTTTCTCTTGGTAATGGTTGTACTCCTCCTCCCCATCGAGGTTTCCAATCTCTCTTTTCTTACCCTTTGGGTCACAGAGGGCGATGGTGTTTGGGTTGACCCAAACGTTTGCTTTCTTAGGGGGCCCCTGGTAGTGAGGGGTCCCTTGAGGCGGAGGGCCTCTGATTAATTGGGACAGGTGGTCTGCCTGTATCAACCTTTCAATGGCCGTCTTCAGCTGATTGGGGTTGATGGCGTATACCTCCAGGGGTGCGCGAGAGTCGCGCTCCACAAGGCCTCTCTCCTCTGCGAAGTCTAGGATGACACTGACGAGGTGCGTCAAGGGAGTCCGAGGGTGCTCCAAAAGAATGGGCTGGGCCCAAGCCTTCGGGTTTCCCTTGTAACCTCCCTCTGGCTTGGCTTGGCCATGCCGGGGGCGATCACTGGGGGGTGCCAAAACCTTGGATTGATTATGGGGAACCTCCCGCCCCCGGTTACCCTTGTCATCTGGCCGAGGGCGTTGCTGATCGGGGTTGTGATGGCATTTTTCCACCTCCACGACCTCGACGTACCGGTCCCCCCGCTGCAGGGCCCTTATGTAATCGCGGGGAGGTTCGATGATGAGGCTTCGTGAAAAGTTCCTGGGGTGAAGGACTGTCTGAAGGAGGGTCAGGAGGGTCCCATCGTGAGCGCCATCAACTTTGTCAGCCTCCGTCCTCCAACGTTCCAAGAAGTCCCGAAGGGTCTCCCCCTTCTTTTGTCTTACTGTCAGCAGGTGGGAGAAATGTTTTCTTGACCGGCACCTTCCTGCAAATTGAGTCAAGAAGCGTTGGGCGAGTTCTTGCCATGAATCGATGCAGCCTTCGGGCAGTCGGTTGAACCATTCGTACGCCGGTCCCTCCAAGGCGGAGAGGAACCAACGGCACAAATATTCGTCTGATGCCCCCACCATCATCATGCTGTTTTGGTAGTGATTGTAATGTTCCTGAGGGTCCGTCTTTCCTTCATAGGGCCTGATGGGCTGCCCCCGGTATTTTTCCGGAATTCGGGCTGCCAATACCCTTGGGGTAAATGGCGTCCTAGTCTGGAGTTGGATGACGGGGTCCCCGGAGCCTTCGGCTATTTTCTTCTGCATTTCCTCCATTTTGGCCAGCATGGCCTCATATTTTGGATCTGCATGAGGGGTGGCGACGGCGGTATGTGCTCGATGAGCCTCCATATCATTAAGCCGGCGCTGGAGGGCCGCGATGATTTCGTCCCTGGGATCCTTCGGGAGGGCCTCCGCCCCCTGCGAACAAACACGGGTCGAGTGGGCCTGATTGATTTGGTGCCTTGCGTCATCGGCATAAAGTGGTGCCTTGCCTTTGTCCTGATGGGGACGTCTCTCGTCTGCCCTTGAGACAGATCCCCCGCCCTCTTGGGGTCTTTGGGACGCCTTTCCACTAATGCGGTCTTGGACCCCTCGGCGGTCTTGCGCTCCTCCGAGCCTCTCGAGGGCTGAGGTCCGAGGCTTTTCTTTGTTCGCAACGCGTTGGTCCCGGGATTGGACCTCCTGGGAAGCGGTGTCTTGAGCCACGACCCCTTCGTCGTTCCCCACCCGAGGGGTAGGGTTCACGAAGGGGGGTGGTCGTGGGAGAAGAAAACCGTTCTCCCCGACTTGCGGTTGAAGGGGTACCAGAGTGCCGAAGGTACCTGGGTTTTGAGTGAGTGTCTGGATGAAGGCAGAGAATGCCGATTGTACGTCGATAGTGAGAACCGGAGGGCTCACTTGGGTTTCGCCCTGGTCCCTCTTTCGGGTTTCGATGCCGAAGCGGGCATCAGAAGCGTTTTGCTGGAGCTGAAAGCGCATGTCAACAGCAGCCTGTTCCAACTCAGTGATGATCCCGCCCTCGGGAGCCTTGTTAGAGGCTCCGGGGGCGTTGACTTCACCGAGGGCCAGGTTGTTGTCCTCAAGGTTCTTGGACTGAGCACGGGTGGTTCTTCCCATTTTGGTAGATGTTTTAGCTGAAGGGGAGGGTTTCTTACTTGATCGTTCGACCTCTCAACGAGAGCACCAAATGATGGATAAGTGTACCCTGGGGTATCTATCCGAGTGGTTACTGCGGGGAATAACTAGAGAGAAGTCAGAGCAAAAGTAAGAGAGAGAATATATATTGCTGAGAATGTGTTGAACGTATTGAGCATGAATTACAAATGGGGAAAAGGAGTGCTATTTATAGTAGTAATAAATGTCAGATAGGGACACGGGTCATCATTCTGATGGTTGAGGGGTCACCTTAACGGGGTGGCACTGACACTCGTATGTGGCCGCATTAAATGCGGTGGTTGGATGTGACGTTTGTACTCGGTACGTTGATCCGGCGCATGTGGGTGAGAGATTCTGTCGAAGGGATGCCTTCGGCCGTAGATGATTGACCGAAGGCTCTTCATACCGGGGGCCTCTAGGTGCCGAGGGCTCTAGGTGCTTAGGGCTACTGTTTTTGCCGCTTTCTTCCAGATACTTTGAGGGCTTTAAAGAAGCTGTACTGTAAGTTTATGAGCCTTCGGCCAGGGGATCGAAGGCACCCCAGTGTTCGACGTGTACTGTTTGACATTTGGGGCGCTGTGATCTGAGTCTGCTGTACTTCCTGGTCTATTGGGCCTTCGCTATGGTCGCTATGGTAGTGGGAGTCTCTGAATCGGGGGTTTGTGTGTGTGGTGGTGGGGGGTTGAAAGCTCCGACGATAATGGGGGAGTCCGGCACCCTAGCCGGCAGGGTAGCAGGGAACCAGGCAGACATAACTCCTGTAATCCACTTCGGGTCTTTCACTTTTTCTCTACCAGGGGAGACGAACGCACTTTGCACCCTACATCTCGGCTGAGATGCAATCTGCCATTCAACGAAAGCAATTGCCAGATCCCGACCGCGACAGTGAAGGCTCCATCACATGTAATCGCGACCAGGCGAGATCCATCCTCCCTGCTTCGGCAGGACTTGATAATCGGAAATGCCAGCACCTCAGCCTCTAGGATGGCCTCCCCAGCGATGGGTCTCCAATTTCAGAGCATGACCAGTCCGCCCAAACGAAGAGAGCCCATGGATCACGAGAGCTCAAGGCCCGGAATGTCCATCTGCTTCTAGACGGGGTCGCCAACGATTCGTATTCGTCGTCGGCGGAATCAAAAGGCGGCCTTCGCACTTCCAGCGTCTGAGAGACCCTCGCTTTGGTTAGAGACGGAAAGGCAAAGGCTGTTACCCTTGGAGGTTTATTTCAGCAAACAGAGGACAAATAGGCAACAGGGGGCTCCCAGCTGATCGACAATTTGACTCAGCAGCAAGCAACTCGTTTAGGAACGGGCCAACGGGGAATACTATTTGAAGGGAGCTGGTGGCAGAAGTTCAAGAAGAAAAGGTGGAATAAGGATGTTTTTAGTTGGACCGTAATTTGCTGGTCTGGTCTATTCTGGTCTGGTGTGGTTTGGTTTCTTTGTATTTTTATAACTATCCAAGTCTGGTCTGATCTGGTCTGGTCTGGTTTAGGAGGAATTACAGTCCAAGTAAAAACATCTTAAGCTTAGAGGAGGTTTTAAGTATCAAACTGATCCTTCTCAACAGAGAACAGAACAATTTTTAAGTCACTCACATGGGTTTGAAATTACTATTGAGAGTAAATCTTTTGTTTCTATATTGTGGATTGCAATACAATTCGTATATCTGAATCAAAAATTGGAATAGTGTCTGCTATTGATCTTGATCTCGAATAAATTTCTTGGCTGAAAGATTCCTTTCCCAAGCTATTATCTGATAATTGGTCTTGCACTAGATTTGACTTCAAGAATTCTCTTAGTATACTTCGTGATGCTAATTTCTTTGGCGGTTTGTTCAGCATCATTGAGAAGAATTGTGACTCTATTTATACCGGAGGGAAGAAATGGATTGGGGAGTAATCTTTTTCTTACGGGAATCATGAGAGCACTTGCTTTGTTAACAGATAACACAACCAAGCTGCCATCTTTGGTGCCTGATCACACTTCTTGTGAGGATTTTTCAGGTAAATGCTCTAACTTTGAGTGGGATCCTATCACCTTGGATAAGGATCACTAGCATCAGAATGAATTTTCAATTTCAGGAACCCTATTACTAGTTGACATTGAATATTCTTCCTTTGAGAAAACTCTGGTGTTGGACTTTATCGGGGATAATAACTCTGAGCTTATACCTGGAATTGACTCTTTTTTAGATCACATTAAAGATTTCTTTCACATTACTATGTCGCAAGGGGTGGACTCACTTTCTCATTTCTTAATCAAAGAGTTTGAAAGAATCATTGTCTCTTGTGACCGAGACGGTTTAGATAAGAAACCCGCTCACGAAAAAAAGTTGTTGGGTGTGCAAACCCAATTTCGAGGGATTTTATTTCAGGTGACCATACTGAAGTTTTTGATTGTGAGGATGATTTTGGCGAGCAGTTCTATACACATTTGGGGGATGATATTCTTGGTCATGCTTCGGAAAGCAAAAAGAGGGCTCCTATTTCTTCGGTGGAAGGTCTATGGGATTCTGATACGAATCAGAATATTTGCAACAAAGCTTTGTTGATCACAAGAGAAAACTATCTGCTTACAGAGAATCTAAATACTCAGATTAAGATGTACAGGAAAAAGAATCAGCAGTCTCATCATATGCGAACTAGGTCCCAAACACGGGTGGAATACTGATTACTAAACACAGATTCAGAGTTATCTTGGGAGGGATTATATTGTACCTCAGGTTGGGGTTTCTTGTTGTTTCTTTCTTTTTTTCTCTGTCTTGTAACTTCTTTCATTACCATTAATAAATAAAACTACCTTCGTTCCAAAAAAAGTCGTACTCTTCCAAAGGCCAATATAAATCTGGGAAACACTCTTCGAAACCCAAAGAATGAGTCGTCGCTTCCATGACGAGATAGAACACACAAGATCATTGAAATCGTCGTACATGTGACATGTTGCTTGGAAATTCAAGACGACACACATGTTTTGAGAAGCAGCAATACAGTACTCTTAAAGTTATTTCATTTTTAATGGATTAATTTCCTTTACATATAAATGATCACTAACTTAAACGCCAAAGGATCGTTGGCTTCTAGCCAATGGTTAGCCTTAGCAAATTCTTTTTCCACAAGAACAGTCAACAATCGACATTGATGATGTCTCGACTTTCCGTGACACTATGGCGTCAGTTTAAAAGCCCATCAAGGGTATTACCATAACATATCTTGAAACTAGGCATTTTATGTTTCAATTTTATCATGAAAATGACTTGCATATGCTGGTTCAGTAAGGGCCGTGGTTATTTGACCAAAACCTGATTATTCTAAAACCATTGGAGGGGGTGATTTGCCATTGATTGTTCCGCTAAATAAGAAAGACTTGTGGCTACATGTTTATGGAATACTTGTTGGCTATTTTACTCTAAAAAATGCTGAAAGAATAGGCAATTGTGGGTACTTTTGTAATACTTGAGATTTAATATAAACAGATTAATAGTACTACTCATACCAACAAGGTGCATCTCCTTTTAAGGGAGCTCATTAGCCAAGAACTCCAAAGTTAAGCGTGCTTGCACGGGAGTAGTCTCGGGATGGGTGACCTCCTGGGAAGTTTCTCAGGGCGCGCACGAGTGAGGACAAAGTGCACAGAAAAGGCTAGTGACGGTTTGTGAGGAAAGTACTAGAGGCCTGGAGGGTGTGTAGGAGTAACTACCTCGGGCCCTACGGAGCGGGGTGTTACAAGTGGTATCACAGCAACCCTGTGACAGTGTGCTGACTCGTTGGATATCGGGCGGGCACATAGCGGGGAGGATTCTGGGATTTTATTGAGATTTGAAATTGGTTTATAGGCACAACGAGGACGTTGTGATCCTAAGTGTGGGTGATTGTAATACTTGAGATTTAATATAAACAGATTAATAGTACTACTCATACCAACTAGGTACATCTCCTTTTAAGGGAGATCATTAACCAAGAACTCGAAAGTTAAGCGTGCTTGCACGGGAGTAGTCTTGGGATGGGTGACCCCTTGAGAAAGTTTCTCAGGGCGCGCACGAGTGAGAACAAAGTGCGTGGAAAAGGCTAGTGACAGTTTGTGAGGAAAGTACTAGAGGTATGGAGGGTGTGTAGGAGTAACTACTTCGGGCCCTACGGGGCGGGGTGTTACAACTTTTGTTTGGCTTCATGAGCATAATTTTAATATGAAGTGGAACTCGTTTATGCGCATTCACGTCACTCTTAACATAGAAAAAACCCCTGAAAAGGAAACTTTTTTTCAATAAGAATATGATATTTGTTTCTGTGTTTCGTTTCGATTTGAATAATTGTCCAGCTTTTATTTCCTATGTGGAATTATGGGGCATGTGGAGAACTTCTGTCCCAGTAAGCAGTGGGGTTGCTTGGAGGGGTCAGCAACCTTTGAGAATAAGGAGTCCCGAACCGAACCAGTGCCAGATTATTTGGAACTTGGCTTAGAGCTACGAAGGGGAGTACTCAAAACGAAGGCAATAAATGATTAGTTACAGTTGGGGTAGGGATGGTTCGGGCCCGGTCGTGCCTCGGTTCATGAAGGGGAGGCCCGGAACTGGCTCAGGTAACCCCCGGGTCCGGGCCGGGCCGGGCCTCGGTTCTTTTTTTTTTTTTTTTGGCTTTTCCTAGTTAACCCCCAACCCTCCCCCTCACCCCCAAACCAACCCTAACCACCTCAAATGGCCCAAAATACTCAGCCCAACCCAAAAACTTAAAAAAAAAAAATGGCCCGGCCAGAACCGGTCGGGCCGGTTCACCTTTTGAAGGGCTCGAGCCCGAACCGCCATCCCACCAGGCTTGGTGGCCCGAACCGGGACCGAAACCGGTTCACCAGGCCGGGCCAGGCCCGCACAGTAGCGGGCCGGTCCAGTTCCGGGCCGGTCCGGTTCCGGGTCGGTTGGCCCGGTTCGAGTCCACCCCTAAGTTGGGGGAGGGCAGAGTAAGGAGAATGAAGCAGGGACTTCACCTAGAAATCTTTAAGAGGGACAGGGGGTAGGCAGAACCGGTCGAGGGCAGGAGGACCATAGCTCATAGGAGACGAAATGGACCAGAAACGCAATCGCATAGCATGAGACGGAGAGGAGGACAGGGACAATGACATGAAGGTGGAGCAAGGTCAGACAAAAAATGGGAATGAGGCGGGCTTCAAATCAGTGGCCCGTCTGACACACAAATTGAGTTGTCTACTAGCTTACTGTTAGGTATTGGCCCAGTATTTACCATAAGCCCAACTCAACTTAAGATGCACTGGCCCATCTTTTCTTTTCCTCTTCCGCACCGCGCCTTTGATTTTGTCGATCGGCTTCTTCTCTCACGCGGTTCTTTCCTTCCCTGGGTAGTAATGTGCATATCTCCTTTGCAAGGTATGTTGCCATCCTTGGTACCTTTACTCTGCCTATTTAAACTCTCTCCTTCTCTGTCGATTTGTAGTTGGACGAAACCCTCTTCTTCCTCTTTTTTCGCACATTGACTGGGTTGGTCGGAATTAGGTTGAGTTGGCCGGAAAATAGCCCGTTGGCTGACGCCCCTTTCCCCTTATAGACTGTAGTGGTGGTCTTCATCCTTTGTGGGTGAAATTTGGACGAGACCTGAGCTGGATTGGATAAACTTTCAGTGGTATCAGAGCCGGGAGAGGTCTGTCGCCGCCACGCCGCCGCCTGCTGCCGCGTCGACGCCCTCCACTGCTGTCCAGAAGTCACCGGAGGTCCAGGGGTGCTGCCGCCGTCTGCCAGGAGCCAAACCAGTCCAGTCCGCTGCCGGTCCAGACCTGCTGCCGCCAGTCTGGGAGCTCTGCCGCCACGCTCTACAGCAGCCCACGCTGCCTACGGTAAGTCGGGTAACCCAACCTCGGGCCCCGCTCAGGTAAATTGGCGTTAACCACCCTTGGTGTACCGGAGTGCCACCGGATTTATTTTGTTCCCCGCTCCCCGCTGCTGACCTGCGTGGTCTTGGATGCCGGCTGTGCCCGGCCCCAGGTACGTTTACTAATCCTTTGTGTGATTTTTTATTCGTAGTTCATTCATTTTAATTTCAAGTTGAATTACAATTACTTGTTTGTTTAAATTGTGGTTACTTGTTGGTTTGTGATTAATTTTTTCGGTGAAGAATATTTTTGTTTGGATACTCGTTGTCCAAAGTTGTGAATATTTCTTCCGGTTTAAGTTTAATCACATGTTGGATTTTTTATTTTGATTTTTTCTGTTGATTGATTCGTGGATAAACTCTCCGGTTAAGAATATTTTGTTTGGATACTCGTTGTCCAATGTTGTGAATATTTCTGTCCGGATTAGTTTTAAATCCCGTTTCTTTGTTTGTTGAATTAATTCTAGCCTATTTGTGCTTGTACGAAAGAACAAGGAGATTGTACCCGAGCTTTGTGTTCATTGGTCTTCTCGGCTTGTTCGTGCTAGTTGCTTCGTACAATTGATAGCCCTATAGGTTATAATTAATCATTTATCTGTCTGTTGAGTAAATAAAATTTTTTATCTGTGCTTGTACGAAGGAACAAGGAGATTGTACCCGAGCCTTGTGTTCATTGGTCTTCTCGGCTTGTTCGTGCTAGTTGCTTCGTACCGGTTGATAGCCTGATAAATTTTTTATTTACTCTCTTGCGTGTTGTGCTTGCTTTCTTGTTAATATGGCTGTCAATCAATATGGCATGCTTCCATTTAACGGAAAGACAGATTTTGATATCTGGAAACAGAAAATCAAATGTGTGTTGATCCAACAGAAAGTCTATAGAGCCGTGACCGGTCTCTATTTAGACTCTGAGGATGCTGCTAAGCGTGTTGAGATGAATGAAACTGCTTGTTCCTCTATTTACCTAAACCTTTCTGATGCAGTGCTCAGGAAGGTGGGTATTATAGATTCCGCAAAAGAGTTGTGGGACAAGTTAGATAAGTTGTATACCGATACTTCTTTGCCTGGTAAATTGTTTTTGCTTGAGAAGTTCTTTAGGTTTAGGCTTGATCTGACCAAAGACACAGATGAGAACCTAGATGTGTTTAACAAGCTTATTTAGAACATTAAGCAAGCCGGTGATAAACACATAGATGACTACACACCCATAGTGTTACTTAATGTCATCCCTGACTCTTACAATGACGTCAAATCTGCCATAAAGTATGGTAGAGACGATATCTCGTTAGATATAGTCGTTAATGGATTAAGGAGTAAGGAGTTAGACCTTAGACACTCGAGGGGTAGTAACAGTCAATCTAGGGATTCTGGTGAAGCGTTGCTTGTGAGGGGTAGGTCTAAGAGTAGATCTAGAAACCATAAGAATGGTAGCAACAATAAGAACCAGACCAATAACAATGACCCGGGGAAGAAGAGAGGTAAGTCTAAGAAGAGAGTGTGCTATAATTGTGGGAATTCTAGTCACTTCATTAAGGATTGTCCCCATCCTAAGAAGTCTGAACATGCTAATGTGGTAGATGATAATAACTTGCATGAAGAAGTTTTTATGGTCTGTGATTTTGCAAATTCTGTGTTGAGTAGCATGACTGAAAATGAGTGGTTAATTGACTCTGGTTGTACTTACCATATGACACCTTTTAGATCTCTGTTTGCTTCTTATGATTCTTGCAATGATGGTTTTGTGTCTCTTGATGATAATAAGAAATGCAAAATACATGGGGTGGGTGATGTATGCTTGAAGTTTGATAATGGGACTGTGTTTACTATGAAAAATGTGAGGCATGTCCCTGATTTGCGTCATAACTTGTTTTCTGTCGCTGCTTTTGAGGGTAGTGGGCTTGAGGGTAAATGGGGAAATGGGTGCATGAAAGTTTT